CGGTACAGCCTCAGGGCTGGGTATTTACTTCCTGGCTTCCTAGACAACGCTAAAGGAAAAAGGACCAGTAAACTGGAGATGTGCGGGACAAGGAAAGAAGGCGATGTGACTGTGCCCCCTCACACTCACGTGCTGAAGGCTTAACCCCCCGGAGTAGCTACAGTTGGAGCCAGGGCTTTGGGGAGGTAACTGAGGTTCAAGGAGGTTCAAGTGTGGGGTCCTAACCTGATAGCACAGGTGGCCTTATGAGATGATACACCCTCACATACTACACACACACACACACACACACACACACACACACACTCACAAAGAAACCATCAAAGTACACAGTGAGAGGCAGCTGTCCAATCTAGGAAGAAAATTCTCACCAGAGCTAAACCATTTAGGATCTTCTAGCCTTCAAAATTAAGCGAAAATAAGACTGTGTCTAAGCCACCAACTCTATGGTATTTTATGTCAGGCCAAGCTCTGACTAACAAAGGGACAAGGGACAGTCCTCAGAAGTGCTGCTAGAGCTGGGACCTTTTGTTTCTTTGACATGGAAGGAAGTCTTTCCAAGCAGAGGGTAGATGCAAGAAGGCTCAGAAATTTCACCCAACGCCATGGAGCAGGCCAGGCACTTTGGGTCCGACAGCAAAGGCCAGGGATGGACGAAGGCCAGTGGGACTGAGGGTTTTTTTCCCCCTGAAAGATATTTTTATTTTCATTGCCTTGCTTCAGGTGAGAAAATAACTAAACCCCAGTTCCCAAAGCTACGTTCTACAAAACAGACATTTACGTGTTCACACTGCATAACCGATGTTTTAAATGCAGGACTTCTTCCAGTGTGTGTAAGGCTAATAATATATCTTGTAATCTCCAAAAGGCTGCACTGTACAGAGCTGAGCAGATAAAGAGTGGATCAGAAACCCGTGTTACGCGAGCTGTCTCTCAGGGTCAGGGCTGCCAGAGCACATTCTGTGTATCACAGAATAAACCATCTGCTTTATTGTTCCACCCAGCTGTGGTTTGTGTCTAGGTGTCCCCAAGGCCTCCTGCAGTCCTAGGGTGGCTTCTGGAGTCGGTGACTGATTACAGTGGGTGTGGGTGGGCAGGTGACTTGCATTACAACGTCAGGAGGGAGAGAGGCTGGCTGGCCGCCTGAGCTGCTGCCCGCCCCTCCCTCCCCCCTCCCCTCCCTCCCCC